CCACATGGAACCTGTCCCGGACGAGGAAATCGACAAGCAGCCGAACGAATGTTTCTATTTACCGCATCACGCTGTGCACAATGAAGATAGCTCAACGACTAAGTTACGTGTCGTTTTTGACGGTTCATGTGTTAATTCATCGGGAATCTCGCTCAACGATCGATTGCTTATTGGACCTAATAACACTGAAAACTTGCTGGATGTATTGTCTCGCTTTCGTAGTTATCCAGTAGTGTTCACAAGCGATGCAGAGAAAATGTATAGACAAGTATGGGTAGCTGAGGATCAAGTGGACTACCTTCGAGTGGTGTTTAGAAAGAATCCCGAAGATCCCATCCAACACTTTCGCCTGCTTACCGTTACGTACGGGACATCATGTGCTGCATATCTAGCTACAGAATCTCTTCGACAAGCCGCTCGAGATAGTGCTGAAAATTTCCCGGTTGCTGCTGAAAGAATCCTCAAAGGGTTTTATGTAGATGATTTGATGTCTGGTGCTGACACACTAGAAGAAGCGAAGCAACTAGTCACCGAAATCTCAACAATTCTAAGCCATGCTGGATTTGTCCTTAGGAAATGGTCGTCGAATTTACCAGAACTCGTCGAGGACATTGCAGATAGTAGAGATGGCCCAATTCCTTTGCAGTTTACAAATGACTCGGATTCTGTTAAAGCCTTGGGTATACGTTGGTCGCCCAGAGAAGACTCGTTCGACTTCAAGGTGTATCTATACATCGATAGCAGCAACACCAAACGTCAGCTTCTGTCGGACGCATCGAAGCTGTTCGATCCTTTTGGGTGGCTTTCACCGTGCATCGTCAAAATCAAGATCCTGTTCCAGCAGCTCTGGTTGTACGACTTGACCTGGGATGACCTACTTCCCGCAGCAATTGAGGAAGAGTGGGTTGGCGTTAAACACAATCTTCACCTGTTGAAAAAGGTCCGTATACCACGTTGGATTGTTAATCACGAAGGAAGAATGCAGCTTGTTGGGTTCTCAGACGCATCAGAGTCCGCATATGCCGCAGTAGTCTATGGCCGTTCGATTGATCCGAACGGTGAAGTACGAGTTACACTAATCGCCGCTAAAACCAAGGTAGCACCTATCAAGCAAATTACATTACCACGCCTCGAGTTGAATGCTGCTGTGCTCCTGACGACGCTGATGAAGAAGATCTCTTCTGCTCTCGATCACCTCAATCTGCAGATGCATGCTTGGTCGGACTCAACAATAGTCCTAGAATGGTTATCATCGCACCCACGAAAGTGGAAAACATATGTTGCCAATCGCACTGCAACCATCCTGAATGTACTTCCAAGAAGCTCATGGCATCATGTAGCTTCCGGAGAAAACCCAGCGGACTGTGCGTCAAGAGAAATAACGCCATCTGAACTTTTGGAGCACCCACTTTGGTGGACAGGACCTTCCTGGCTTTACAAGCAAGATGAATTCCTATATCACCTAGTCGCACAACCTGCAATATGTGAAGCAAACCATCAAGTCACGATTTTAAATACCAATATTGTCCCAAGGAGTGATTTCACCATAGAACAGTATCTTTTGAATCGCTACTCTTCGATTCGAGTAGTATGTCGAATTCTCGCGGTTATCAACCGATTCATTTGTAACCTCAAATCTGTTCGTAGAGAAGACCGAAAAGTGGGAACAATAACTCCAACAGAACAACAAGCGTCTACCCTACGGCTAATACACATGGCTCAAAACGACGCATTCATCTCCGAACTGACATGTCTCCACAAAGGAACCAAACTGCCCAGTAAAAGCAAATTACGCTCGCTACATCCTTTCATCGATGGAGAAGGAACACTTCGTGTAGGAGGAAGACTCCAGAACGCCAATATCCCCTACGAAATGAAGCACCCAGCAATTCTACCAAGTCACCATCGTTTCACGGAGCTGATTATTCAAGACACACACCTTGTCAATCTACATGCAAGACCCACATTGTTGCTAGCTACACTCAATCAACGATTTTGGATAATTGGATGCCAGAACATGATTCGTCGTGCAGTACAGAACTGCCTCCGCTGCTGTCGTATGAAAGCGAAGACTGCCACTCAACTTATGGGTTGCTTGCCAGCCGTTCGCACCATGCCAGTGCGAGCTTTCATCCACGTTGGGATTGATTATGCCGGTCCAATCATCCTCAAAAGCGGCAATCCTCGTAAACCTCTCCTAACCAAGGGTTACATAGTTGTGTTCGTGTGCCTTTCCACTAAAGCTATTCATCTAGATTCTGCCAGTGATTTGTCGTCCGCAGTATTCATCGAAGCGCTCAGAGGTTCATCGCTCGTCGTGGTTTATGTACAGAGATTTGGTCTGACAATGGGACAAATTTCATCGGTGCTGATCGCCAGATGCAGGAGTTTTTCCAATCCGATGAATTTAGAGCTCAAGCAAGCTGCTTTTCTTCGAATGTAGGCATCAAGTGGACATTCATACCACCATCCGCACCCCACATGGGTGGTTTGTGGGAGGTGGCAGTGAAGAGTGTCAAAACGCACTTATACAAGGTGCTCAGTCGTGGACCGCAAACCTTCGAACATCTGTATACTATTCTCACCCAAGTAGAAGCCTGCCTTAATTCAAGACCGTTGTGTGCCATATCCAATTCACCGGACGACTACAATGTTTTGACTCCAGGGCATTTCATCATTGGAACCAGAACCATCAGTCCCAAACGTACCCGTTAATCGACTCGACTCTTGGCAGATATGTCAGAAGCAGCTAGAAGAAATTTGGCAGCGCTGGAGAAATGGATACGTTTCATCTTTGCAACCACGAACCAAGTGGCAATCTATGGAGGATAACCTGCAGATCAACAGACTTGTTCTAGTAAAAAATGAGAACACTCCACCAGCACAGTGGGAGCTTGCCCGGATTAACGCGGTCCATCCGGATCGTCAAGATGTTGTGAGGACTGTCACACTTCGCAGAGGATCATCTGAATACCAACGACCGATCCACAAGTTGGTACCGCTGCCGACAGCTTAAGATATTGAGACTCCTGCCTCAAGTTGGGGAGTTGTTTAGAGTAAATTGTTTTAGAGTACATCAACCAACCACTCCCTCGCTCAAGTGAATTCCCGCGCATTATGTACCTTTGTTTAGTCAGTTGCAAATAAAAACCCAAACAACGCAAAATAGTTCGTAGCGAATTTATTTCCGAAAACTAAACTGAAAATTCCGCTTGATACAACAACAAGGACCATTATGCGAGGATCAATTATGCGTATCGACGAACGAGTCGCCAATGTTATCGGCGTTATCAACGAGATGTTCAACGGAAGCTTCGATCTCACCCGAAAACTTTTTGGAATTATGTAAATAAGCAACGAAAGGAGTCTGGCCTTCCATCGACTATGGTACTGAACGGCGAAGAAACTTCATCCCCTCAACACATTTGCCGTCTGTTCTCAACCAGGTTTGCTAGTGTATTCTCGGATTAGAACGTACCTGACGAGCACGTTTCTCTAGCAGCCAGTAATGTTCCAATGTCTGGTCAATCTTTGGCAGATATCAACATCGACCTCGCTATGAGGGCGGCTTCTGTTCGAAATGTCCCTCTCCAGTGGTGGGGTGTTTCCTTCCTGCTGCAAATCAGCTGAGATGTTTCCAGTGCATAAGAAGGGATGCAAAAGAAACATCGACAACTATCGCGGCATCACATCGTTGTGTGCCATATCTAAACTGTTCGAGTTGGTCGTTATGGAACCATTAGTCTCTCACTTCAAGCAGCACTTGAGCGAAGCCCAGCATGGTTTCATGGCAGGGCGGTCGACTACTTCCAAATTTCTGTGTCTCACCTCGTACATTACGGAGAGTATGACAGACCATATGTAAACAGATGTCATCTACACTGACCTATCAGCCGCCTTCGACAAGTTGAACCATCCTATAGCGATCGCCAAACTGGATAAGGGCTAGGTATAAACGGCAGTCTCCTACGATGGTTCGCATCCTATCTATCTGATCGTCAGTTGGAAGTTGCAATCGACGACTGCCGATCTCCTTCGTTCCCCGCCACTTCGGGTATTCAGCAAGGTAGCCACCTCGGCCCGTTGATATTTCTTGTGTATTTCAACGACGTCAATTTCGTCATCGACGGTCCACGACTGTCGTTCGCAGACGACATGAAAATCTATCTCCGAACCCGAGCTATCGCTGACTTGCTAATTGGTGCCAACTGAACCGCATGGTTGTAAATCCAACCAAATGTTCAGTCGACAAGGCATCTACTGTTTGAAGTCGCTTTACTGCTCCCTCGTTAGGTCGGTGTTAGAATACTGCTGCCCTGTATGGAATCTCAATTACCAAATCAGTGTACAAATAGTAGAGTCTATTCAACGGCGATTCATCTGGTTTGCCCTTTGACGATTGCCTTGGATTGCTACGAAAGTCGGTGCCAGTTAATTCACCTGGATCCTTTGGGGAGTCGAAGAGATACGACAATGGGCTATCAATTGGCTACAAAGGGTTTTCAATCGTGTTGCTTCCTTATTTGATTTGACTATATTGTATTTCCTAGTATTGCTTAATCCATCATTAGGACTAAACCCAGTCTGTTGATGTAGAACCAAATAAACAACTAAACGTCCTTTTAAAATATCACGCTTGAGCCAAAATGGTCTATGGACGATTAATATTCCCTCCTGTCGAAAAAATAGGCAGTTTATTTTAAATTTGAACTGCTTTTTTAATAATAGCACAACGGTGCCCTGATATGTAGAGTAAGCTCGACGACAAAGCCGAATGGGACGGGAACAAAATCTGCAAGCACGCACTGGATTGGACATCGCAGCAGAGGCAGACCCAAGGACTTATGGCACCGAAGGAAAACAAGCAAATCGACAGAAATTTTACCTGGCCCCAAGTTGCAAAAGCAGGGCATTTAATTTAACCGCAACGACTTCGACTCAAAAACCTAAAATCAGGAATTTCTCATACTTTCCAGCGCAAAAACCGAACAACCCTTGCATTCCAGCTTTCAGCTTTCTTGTGTTTATTACAAAAACAGTCTTTTGTAGGCTCTGAGTTACGCTTTGTATCATAGTTTACCTGTTGCCTCTCATTTTGTATTCCTCTTATTGTTGAATCATTACGGTATCAATACTTTTTTTTTTCTTAACCATTCGATAAATGTATCGAATCTTACAACCTATCATAGGTATTCCCTTAAACGTCTGCTAGAATATAGTTTAATAGCAAAATAAAAAAAAAGAAAGCAAAATATTCACCGTCCACTCTCTCATGCTCTCGCCACCTCATGCTAAAAATCCTGATCATCGTTTCCTGTTCCGTTCGGTTAGCTTATTTTTTGTTTAATTTTACCTTACTACACTAGAATAAATCACCACAAAATTTCGTCCTGTTTAGTCACTAGCCCAACTGTTCCGCGAGATCCTTTTGCAACTCTCGCCAGCTTATTACCACTAACGGTAGGAGTTTCTGTATGTTGTTGCGTTACTGTACTGTTTTCGTGCTTACTGGCTATTGAAACTTAAAAAGTTTTCGCGTATAGAATTTAAAATATATGAAGATCGTTTTACTTACGGTGTCTCCACCCTGGGGAAAATAAGGAGAAAACCATCCATTAGTGGTGGAATCATTCGAACGGGTACAGTTCAAACAACACCTACTTCAATCCGGTTCCACTGGAGCCTCCGTTGCTGCTGCCGGAGGAGCCGTTCCTCCTGAACTGTGGCAGATGGATAAAGTTCGGGTTGATCAGCCGAAACTGCTGCTCGTCGCCACTGATTGAGATCAAAGTCGGGAAGATTGGCAGCTCGCCGTTGATGTCGTACACCAGGGCACCGGTAGCAGTCGGCAGAACCGCCGACGATGCCACCGAAGGTGCACTGCTGAAACCACCACTGGTCGTCTCTGCGTGAAACATGTTGGAAATTGTTAGAAACCATCATAATTTCGATCCCACTCACCAAACTCACCAATCTCCCTAATCACATTAACAGCCTCTGTCCTTAGAGAAAACTCGTTCTTAATGCTAAAATCACAATCGAATTCAGGTTGTACGTAACTAAACTGGAACAGCTCGTTATCGTCCTCGGAGAGCCCGAGCGGTGGAGGATCGACGAGATCGGAATCCGCCGGTCCCAGTGGTTCCGATTCGTCCTCGGTTGGAGGTTCACTGGCCGAGGTTGCGATGTTATGCTGAATCTGCGAAGAAACTGCATGCCGGGCGTCTTCGTCGGAAATCCCCGCCCCGGGAAGTTCCAGAAAGATGTCCTCCATCTCTTCCATCTTGAGCGGCTGCAGCAGGTCATCCTTGGAGACCAGATTGAGATCAATGTTGGAATTTTCACCAACAAACGGAAGGCTTTCTTCCTTGATGGACAGTTGAAGGGTTTCCTTCGGAGGTTTCTTCTTCACTTGCTTTTCAACGACGACGACACCGTCCTTGCTATCGACTGGTTTATCCTTCTTCTTGGTCATAAACTTCGGAACGCTGTCCAGTTTTTCTCCGGTACGATGATCAACCTTGTGACGGCGACGAATATGTTTCAACCAGTTGGGGAAGTTGGTAAAGTCCCGTGAGCAGTATTTGCATTTGAACGGCCGCAGTCCCGAGTGGATGTTGCTGTGCTGACGAAGCTTCGAACTGCTCAGGAAGCCTTTGTTGCACTCGGAACATACGAAGGGACGATCTGCGTTGTGAACTGCCGAATGGACCTAGAACGGAACGAAATCAAGTTTGAACAACAATTTCCCCCAACTACTAACCGAACCTACCTTCAAACAACGCTCCGTCTTGTAGCATTTTCCGCACAGCTCGCACTTGAACGGACGCTCTTCCGAATGGAAAAACTGATGCCTATGCAGATGGGACTTTTCGAAGAATGCCTTTCCACACTCCCCGCAGGGAAACGGACGCTCGTCGTTCGGCAGGTGCTTCTTGCGATGGTGAATAAAATTGATCTTCTGCACAAACGACTTATCACAATCCTCGCACGTAAACTTCGGCCCATCCGAGTGAATCTTCCGGTGCGAATACAAACTTCCCGCCGACAGAAACTTGCCACAGTCCGGACATTCGATCATTTGCTTCGGAATCGGGTGAATCTTCTTTGCGTGGAACCGCACCTCGGCCTGAGTGCCGAAGACGGCATCGCAACGATCACAGCTAATCTTCCCTTGGACCTTAGCAGCAACCGACAAATCCTTTTCCGCCCTAGCCACTACTGGCTGACTCTCGTGGATACTTTCGTGCCGGTTAAGATCCGATTTCTGATGGAACACTTTGGAGCAAGTCCCGCAGGTGTACCGCTGATTTGCACTGTTTGAGTGCCGGTAGATGTGCAACCGATAGGCTTTATACTGGGATATCTGTTTGTCGCACGTTGTGCAACAGTAAACCGGCTCCTGGTTGTAGCTCTTCCGATAGTGAAACTCGTACTCAATCTTCGTCTCGAACTGCTTCGAACACTTGTGACAGGTTATCGTCAGCTTGGACCGCTTTTTCGTCGACTTTCCAACCTCCTCCCCGTGCATCTCACTTTCTACGAGCTCCTTCTTCAGGGGCAATCCATGCTGATCGAAGTACTTCGTCGGGGAAGGATTCTGCGGTTCCATCACCAGAATTAGTTCACCATCTAAAAAGCAACACCAACAGTAGTTCAAAACAACCGAAATCAACAAAACAAACCGAAAAATGATGCACACTTACCACTTTTCTGTTTTTGTTTATTACTCCCGCTGCATTCCCCGCCACCTTCACCTCTTCCACCAGCCATCTCTACAACCCCTTGCGAAACAATCTTCATGTTCGGCAGCATACCGCCCAAAGCACTGTTTCCCACCGACGACGGCAGCGGGACCAGCTTCGGAACCAACAAAAGCCCGGAATCCATCCCGGGAAGTAACAACAGGAAAATAAAACGAAAATCCAACTGCTGGATCACAAAAAAGACACACCACCAACACCTCAGACAGACAGAAAGATGCACGCGCGCGCCCGATTCCAAACACTCACAACAATCGCCTACAGACGATGCGAAATTCCTCCAACGGCTACCGGTACCCGGCGGGGCACATCCGGCGGAAGGGCTTTACGCGAAATTTGACCACAAAAGCGAACGTTTGATGGGGTAAAAAACTTAATTGAATCGAACAAAACAAAGACCATGCGAGGCCATTTTTGTTTTTGCTCTCTCACGACGACTTTTTCTTCTTCGTCGCTGCTCGGCGAAAGAGGAAAATGACAGATGACGCGCTTCGAGAGAGTGGAGAAGAGCGAAGAGGCCTTTCATCGGTTCGGTTCACTGAAACTGCGGCAGTGTGCGTGAGATGGCAGAAGGGCTTTTTCGATACATGGCAACACAGCAAAAAAAGTTGTTGAATATTACATCGAAACTGCTGCAACCAGGTCAATCCATCGGTTGTGTAATATCACATTATACGGTGTACATCAATTTTGCGAACAAAATTACATCCATTGATGTAATTTTGTATCTGCTTTTTGCTATTACATCATTATTTCATACATCAGCTTGAATTACGTTGATCGATATTACAATTTTTTTTGCTGTGAAGGTGTTTCAGAAGCTAACGGTTTGGTGAAAAAATCGCTGATCGGTGAGCACGATTACCTGCCGCAAAATATTTACCCAACACTGATATTGTCGCTAAAGCACAAAACCGAAGTTCGCTAGTATGGACTAGAGTCGGTGTATAATGAGTCACGCCAAGAGAAAAACAGTTGAACTCGCATCACGGTTTTCGAAAGATTCCCTTTCTTTTAACTTGGCAACAGAGGACTTCTACATCAACTTCAAATGACTTCTAGCGAGAAAAAAAATAGCGGCTGTAGTAAATCATTATATCAGTGATTTTTTTTCAAATTATCTTAACAAAAATAGTAGAAATTCTCATTACTGATCATGACCAAACGTATCCCATGACAATTGAATGCTCACTGCGTGTTTATTATAATTTCTTCTGTTATATTTTACATTTTATTGCAATACCTTTCGTGGATCTTTCATAGCATCGTAATGTTTGTTTACTTTGCACGATAGGTAGCTGGTTTGACAGTTCGATAGGTAGACTTGGCTTCACTCTTGGCGTGACTCATTATACACCGACTCTAGTATGGACAGGTATGGACTAGCGAAGCGTTACGGTTTTTATCTTAACAGACAATAAATTAAACCACAAACAAAGTGACAGACGACTAACTGGCGAAGAAATCAATTAAAATAATGTGGTTCGCTGTAATAGAATTTTCTTAAAAGCTTGTACCATCATCCACCAGATGGGTTAGTTTTTTTTTGTTTTGATTTTTTTTTCCTTTATTTAACGTCGGTCTCTGTTCCGCAATCTAGTACCAATCACCGACGGACATCGATTGCCATCCAATGTGCAGGAAGGCAGCTTCCACACCTGCGTAGGGATATCGCACCCATTCACAACACACATGGGCCGGGACCGACGGCTTTACTTCCCTTCCGAAGGAAGACGTGACCAGAGATTTTTATGCCTCAGAAAAATCCCACCGACCTCGGCTGGGATTGAACCCAGACCCATTGAGGTGTTAGAAAGTAGTCACGCTTAACACTACACCACCGGCACCGGCTTGTTTTGATTTGAACAAAGTTGATTTTGTGTTAAATGATTCTTTGACAGTTTGCAAAGAGTGTATCATTTTGTCATTTTTTATACATTTCAGTTTTGAGTAGAGTGAAAGAGATAGAACCAAAACATTCTAATATACATTTGGTAAAAATGCTAGTACAATCCAGTAGTAGTGGTGTTACCATGTGGTACACTGAAAAATTGCAATAGCAGGTTTGTCACCAATGTTTTCGAGCCGCTCCGTCTGTCACATCGTTTGTGCTGTTAGGATGTCCCGCATAAACGCGAACCATAAAATGACCTTACCTAAAATGGTTAAAAATTGTTTATAATCCCTGCTAAACTTTAACTGAAATGGTTATGGAACTTTACATGAACGTTTAATGATAAAGTTTCAACCACAGACAAACAGACATAACACATTGAATGTTGTTTAATATAAAACATCGTCAGTAAAATACTACCGCCATCTGTTGAGTATACTGTGATGGGTAGTACGCTGAACAGATGGCGGTAGTGTGTAAACGTCAAACGCAAGGGTTATTGACTATGCGCGCCACAGGCGGCGGTACTACCAACTAAAAACATTTAAATTTACCGTTAAATGCGTGTTCGATGAACAAATTGTCAGTGTTATGTCTGTTTGTCTGTGTTTCAACCTTATGTATTATGGTTTTTTGGAACTGGACCTTACAAATAATGGGTTGTTAAGAACCATTACCGTTCCAAATTCTTGTTTTCTCCATACATTTTCGGAAAGAGAACTATATTAGAACCTTTTAACTTATGGTTTGAGAACTTTAATGGTAATGGTTATGGTAGTCAGTAAGGTCCACAAATGGTTTTGTAACATCGATCAACTTTATGTGGAATATATCGCGAATTGGTTGCCTGTAATTTACTGATTACCAATTCACGATATATTCCTCGTAAAGTTGAGTGATAATGCAAAACCATTAATGGACCTTACTGACTACCATAACCATTACCATTAATGTTCTCAAATCATAAGTAAAAACGTTCTCATATAGTTCTCTTTCTGAAAATGTATGGAGAAAACAAAAATTTGGAATGGTAATGGTTCTTAACAACCCATTATTTGTAAGGTCCAGTTCCAAAAAACCATAATACATAAGGTTGAAACTTTATCATTAAACGTTCATGTAAAGTTCCATAACCATTTCAGTTAAAATTTAGCAGGGATTATAAACAGTTTTTAACCATTTTAGGTAAGGTCAATTTATGGTTCGCGTTTATGCGGGGTAATATTCATCAACTCGGTATTCTTCCGATTAGTAAGTTGTGTCTTCAGTGGGATGTCTTGGCCCTCTTATAATTTTCAAGAGCTGACATCTACTAAATTTACCTGAAAAAGAACTGGTATCACTGACATTTTTTTTTCTTTATTAAAGAGATTTTTAGCCATAGGCTAGTTCATCTCTTGTATCACTGACATGTTGAAATAAGGTGGCTTGCTTAACCTTCAGTAGCGCCACCAAGACAAATGCGAGCAAATTCCCTACTAATACCATAGAGGTAACTCTAAGACTAGAAGGTCCCGAAATAACGTGTTCAACTTTTTGGCCAGCTCTGGTACTCTCTTCGGTCCCAAGCTAATCGATTCACCCCTCGAAATATAGGAAAATCCAATAACCCCTCATTTTGTCTGTCAAACTGTCATAGCGAATCAAAACAAACATTGTGTAGTAGTAGAATTTCGACTAGAATGGGCTACGTTAATCGTTTGCTTGGGACCAATAGGCTAGTCAAGTAGTGAGCCAATTTAAAATCTTTAGTTTCGTATTGATTGTTGCTAATACCTTATTTGCGAAGTATGTGATTGTGAGTGTTATGTCTGTTTGTCTGTGAGGCCTATATCAACAGCAGCGTTTGACAGTACACAGCAAAAAAAAATGTAATCGATCAATGTAATTCAAGCTGATGTATGAAATAGCAAAAAGCAGATACAATATTACATCAATGGATATAATTTTGTTCGCAAAATCGATGTACATCGTACAACGTTATATTACACAACCGATGGATTGACCTGGTTGCAGCAGTTTGGATGTAATATTCAACAACTTTTTTCTGTGTAGGCAGCATCAGAGTCAATGTTATAATAAGATTCCCGCCAAGAGTGAAGCCAGAAGTACCAATCGAACTGTCAAGTGGAGTACCAAACGAGCAAAGTAAATAAACATTATTGTTCCCACAGCCAGTGAACTACAAGTATTGCATTCGTTACAGACAATATTTTAGCAATTTTAGATGAAAAACATTTCTTCGCTTTATTTAGTACATTGTGGTATTTATACCAAGCACTTGTTTAAACATTTTTCAGCTTCTATAATTTTTTTTGTCCACCAGAAGCTCCGTAATCGACATTAAATTTTTCACTTCTGAATGAAAGTCATCCGATGCTAACGCAAAAAAATCTGGTTGCCGTTTACTCTGACGTAAAATAAATCACAAACATGACTGCTTGTTCGCAACATTTTCTCTTGGTGGGACTCTTATTATAACATCGACTCTGGGCAGCACGTTTCGGGCTCAAATCTGCATCAGCAATAGAAGACTAGCCTATTGGTCTCAAGCAAACGATTAACGTACCCCCATTCTAGTCGAAATTCTAGTGCTACACAATGTTTGTTTCGATTCGCTATGAAAGTTTGACAGATAAAATGAGGGGTTAGTGGATTTTCCTATATTTCGAGGGGTGAATCGATTAGCTTGGGACCGAAGAGAGTACCAGAGCTGACCCAAAAAGTTGAGCAATTTTCTTCGGGACCTTCTAGTCTTAGAGTTACCTCTATGACTATAGTGTTCACCGGTTGGTTAATCCCTGTTAACTCTCGCCTCACCTTTCATATATACCAATCTACATTGATCGATTGTCTTCATTGACACTTTCGTTAATAACTTGGCTGCATTCATATTTCGGGCTAATTTTTCTACATAATCTGTTAAGCCTAGTATACAGATCGAAGCGAAACGAAAATTGAAGCACGCGAAAAATCATGAAATTTCGCTAGCGAAAAAGGTTGTGAAAAAATGTTTGTGGAACATTTTCCAGTTTCCTTTTTTCGCAGTTTACAGTTCATGTGAAACGAAATCGATCAGTTTACACCTCCGGTGAAGTGAAAATTTGACAGATACGCTCTCCCGAAACGTCAACTTTTCGCTTAGCTGCTGCTCTTTTCGCGAGCGCTGCATGCGCAAAAAAAAAATAAACGTAAGCGAAAAAGATACGATCCACAAAATTAGATTTCGCTGGATCGTATCTGTTACAGTTCAAAGCGAAGCGAAATATTTGCCAATTGCGTTTTTCGCGCAGGTGAAAAATGTAGTATTTTGTATGAGATTTTCGCTTCGCTTAGATCTATATACAGGCCTTTAAAAGAAAGTACTGTTAAGCGTATTGGTGGATAAAAAAAATTGAACATGTTTTTGGAGTCGGGTTATTAACGAAAGAGAGAGTCGATGAAGAGAATCGATCAATGTGGATTTGAAGTCTATTTGAAAAGTGACGCGAGAGCCTCGCAACTTCAAAATGAATTTTTTCAAATTTACCGTGTACGATCCGACGACGTCGACGATCGATCGCGGAGTAAACAAAAACAAAATCTCGAACTGTCAAAATACAGCACTCATTTTAGCAGATTTTGCTGAAATTTCCTCACTTTCATTCACTTGCTACGAATATTGTGATTGTGATTAGGTACACATTTCCGAAATGAAACAAACGACTGAAAAGTTTGGTGAGTAAATGTGCTTAAAATAGCTAGAAACAACCTGGAAATTACTACCACTAATTTCAGATGTGGCTAAGTACTTCATAGACATCCTGGACAAGGATGACAGCCTGTCGTCCGGAATCGCCGCAATCAAAACTCTGCTAATGGTCCTGGAGAAGACTAAGTGTAAGTACTTGCCACTGTTTTTTTCCTGGCCTAACATGAATTTCATCCTTGACGACCTGATACACAGCTTATACAGGCTATTGAAACCAATTAGTGCCAACATTTCATTATGGCGAAAATACTTTTGTAAACAATGACTTCAGCCGAGGAACCATTTATCTACCCGGTAGTGTCATTAATTCGCATGTGTGAGCTTATATTCGAAAGAAATTGATTGCTAAAGCCATTGTTTACAAACGCAATTTCGCCCTGTTGAAATGATGGCACTGAAATTACAAGCACTAACTGAAGAATCGCTTCCAGTCGACACCGTCCAGGAGTTCCACTCCACCATCCAAGCGGCGGTCCAGTCGATGCGCAATACGGACAAACCGATGACCTCGGTCGTATCGGGGAGTGAACTCTTCTCCCGCTTCATAACGTTGGCCAAGTTCGACGACAAGACGATGGACGAAGTGCGGGAAATAATGCTCAGCCGGGGCAAGAGCTTCCTGGCCAAGCTGCTGGAGAGTCGAAACGTGGTTGCCAAGCAAGCTACCAGCTTCATCAGCGACGGGTGCCGAATTTTGACCCATGCTCGGTCGCGAACCGTACGGGACACGTTGATTCTGGCGGCCAAGATGAACAAGCGCTTCCACGTGTTCGTGACGCAGAGCTTTCCCGACAAGGAAGGGTAAGGGCTGAGGGGGAGTGATTTTAGAAGTAGTACATAATGTTGGTATTTTGTTTGTTTGATAGCGAACAGATGCAAAAGGAACTGGAGGCGGAGGGAATCGACTGTACGATGATTCTGGACTCCGCTGTGGGATACGTGATGGAAACGGTCGATATGGTGTTCGTGGGAGCTGAAGGGGTGGTGGAAAGCGGTGGCATTATTAACCGGGTCGGAACCTTCACCATGGCCATGTGCGCTCGGGAGATGAAGAAACCGGTCTACGTTCTGGTGGAAAGCTTCAAATTTAGCCGATTGTATCCGCTGAATCAGCGGGATCTACCGAACGACTACAAGGTAAGTGCCTGGTTTGGAGTGGCAAACGTTTCAAATTACTGACATTGTTTCCTGTAACTGTTTTAGTATTCGAAGAGCAGTCTAAGCGATATCTCGAAAGCACATCCCCTGGTAGACTACACGCCTCCAGTTTATATAACGCTCCTCTTTACCGATTTGGGAATACTGACACCCTCTGCCGTTAGCGACGAATTGATTAAATTGTATCTGTGAGGAAAATTGTGCGATAGTTGTTTGGTAAGAAAATGCAATGCAAAATTATAATTTTGCGTTAAATTAGTTCCAAAAGAAATCCTGATTTAGCTACAGAACTACACATATCGCTTCTGCCGGGTCACGACTCGAGATCCGTCCCACAAGGTACTGGCAACGAATGTTTCGGTAGGCGTTTTAGGAGCCCTCCAAGGTCGAGTTCTATGAGAGATGAAAAGCCTGTCACGTTCACGCAAATTTGAATCAACAGTTTGACTTACCTGCAAATGTCGTCGACCTTAATGCGCCCTTGAATATTCGACGCAATCAGAGACGCAAACGGATCCCTGGGCCGTTCGTTGTAATCTCCGACAAGAATTCGCCCTGGTGCTTTCTGACCTTGCTGATCCATTGTGAAGCTTGTCGATTTAGGACGAGCTTTCGGTTTGGCCGGAAGTCGAATCGGAGTATCGTCGTCCAGCAGAAGGGTATTCCTAATGGGTACTTGCGTTTCCGTTGATGCCAGCATACTCTTCATTTCGCTATTACTCATCTTCTTGACCGAGTCCAAAATCTGATTGCACTCGTACATGGCTTTATCGATTGCCTTGACGTTCTGCCCCAGCATCAGGTACCGTTCAATGATCGCTCGGCAGATTTCTCGATGCAGGTGGTCCAATTCGGCGATTACCAGCATACTTATTCCGTGACGCACAATTTTAATAGCTATCATGCTGGTCTTGTCCGGATTTGAAGTTCCGATCCTAATGATGTCGTCATCCAGGAATCCAGTCTGCTCCAATTGAGCCATCTGTTGGGGCAGTTTATCAGTTACGGATCGTTTTTTCGTTACACAGTCTTTCACAGCGTGTTCTTTAACGTTTTCTTCAACACCAATTACTGTCACTTCTTTGTCTTCTTCTGATTCGTAAGCGTCTTCATCAGTCGGTTCGTACACCTGCTCGTCTTCAACATCGCTCATTGTCGACTCAGAACTCGATCGTTCAGCTTCCACCACAACCGCCTTGATGGTTTCTACGCTCACTGCCGATTCTAATTTCGCCCATTGAGTGTCCGACACATGCGCCTTAGCCATTTCCTCACTCGCTTGGACAGGAGCATTCGGCCGATCTCCAACTTGACCACCACTACCGACCGATTTACGCTTCATCGAATCTCTCCGTTCAAGCACTTCTTCCTCCAAAATGTTCAACATTTCTTCACCCGATTCAACCGATTCTTTCGATTCTACGGTGAGAATTTTCGGCAGATCCACACCTTCCACTACACCGATTCGCTCTTGTCGACCCTCTTGTCCTTCACATTGCTGCAACTTCTCCTCGAGTTCTTTAATCCTTCCTTCCAACTTCTGCCTCTCTTGCTGCATATTTTCCTCACCAATCTCCGACAAATCAATGCCTCCCAACTGCTGCACCGATCTAATCGCATCTACTTCAACCTCTAATCTTCCAATCACGTCTTCTCTCTCCTTCACCGCTTCGTTGGCATTTTGCAGTTCAGCACGAAGGTTCTCTACCGTTTTCAGTAGTTCCGCTTGACTCTCAACACTCTCCAGCGCACCTCTGGACAAGCTCTGAGTAGCCACTAGTTCTTCCTTCTGTAGTCGTGCTACCTCCTGTTGCAGTTCATCGTTCAACTTTTTCAGATCATCCAATTCTGCACCACCCAGCAATGTCATCTGCTCTTTGGTCTGCGCTAGCTCTGACTTCGACGTTTCCAGTTCAACCAACTGCTGTTGCTGGATCACTTCCAGTTTACCGACTTCATCCAGGTGTTGGACCACCGCAGACTGTAGCCGAGTGTTTTCTTCGTTTAGAAGATCTATTTTTTCGACTTTCTCTGCAAGTTCTGCTTGGGCATCCTCCAACATTTTCTGAAGGTTGTCAATCTCATTATCTACCGACTCGCGGGGTTCTGCCTTGATCGAGACTATACTCTTCGCAGCGGCTTCAAGCTGCTCGATTTGCTTCGTTTCTTCTGCGAGTTTTGTATTAACTTGCGCCAAGTTCTTTTCCAAAAGTGCTATTTGAGACTGAGCTTCCTGCTCACTTTCCTTATTAATTCTTATTTCTTCTTGACACTGTTTGAGTTCTTCCATCAGCTTACTAGACTGCGCATTGCCTCCGGTAGCTATCTCAACCAATTCTAGTTCCTTCCTGAGCGACTCGACCTGTTCCTGCAGCTCTTGATTGAGACGCTCGCGCTCTTGCAGTTCTTCCATCTGAACGCGACGAAGGCTTTCAAGATCTTCCTCCATCTGTTGGCAATTACCACATCTTTTCGCTGCAAGCTCCGCCGTAGCGGATGATTGCCGTGCTTCCGCTTCTTCACCAGCCGACAAAGAACGATTTTCCGACCATCGCTGTGATCTCTGCACTTCCAGCTCCTCGATCGCTGCGAAATTCTCACGATCCACCTCTTGGAATTGTTGATCGTACAGTGACTGAAATGCAAAATATTATACACTAAAGTCATTCAACCTTCCACAAAAAGCCCCCTACCAACACGTGCTCCAGTTCATCTTCAACCTTCTCCCTGTGGACCTGCTCTAACGCCAGCTGCCTTTTCAACTCCGTTAGGTTCGATTGCTGCACGAACGCCTTCTGCAGTTGCTCCTTCAGTTCCCGCTTCTGATGGCGCAGATCTTCATACTTCGCCTTATACAGTATCAACTCCGCTTCCAACTTCCAGCAATCTTCCGCCTGCATGCGATTGAAGTTCGCTTCCGCTTCAGCGTTGATTAGTCGGATCCTGTCGGCCGCTTCCACCCGCTGCTTCTGCAACTGCTGACGCAGCAGCTCGTTCTCCTTCGCCAGTAGATCGTACCGATCGGCACGATCCTTCAGATTGACGATCACCATTTCCAGATCTTCCATCTGCTGCTCGAAGTCGGTGCGTTCCTGTTCCAGTATGGCCGACTGCTGCCGGATTTCGGTCAGTTCGTCCGATTGCTTCTGAATCGCTTGCAGCTGTTCCCCTAATCCCTTCCGAGACTCCTCAAGCGTCTGAACGGAGTCATTCTTCCGTTTGATTTCCGCCTGCAAACTGAGAATGTAATCAGCGAGGTCGTCCGCATCCAATTGGATCAGATAGCCTTTGGTCAGCTCGAATTGACCTTCTGGCTGTGGAGAAAAAAAAAACGGTTCAACGTAGTCCATTCAAGTCAGTTACTCAAAAACTCACATGCAGCAAAGCCTTCTTGAAGCGTGCCTTGTGGACGACGTCCAGGATGTAGTTGGAGCGTTTCTGCTTGTCCAGGGCCCACGCGCGACTGTCGGTGCACAAATCGTACGTCATGAGGGCCCCATCGCTTCGCTTCCGGTCCGGGAGGTTCGGATCTTCGTTACGGAAGGGAACGTTGAAGAATTCCTGCTGCGTGGTGTAGGACATCGCCGTAGTGGGCGTGATTTGGAGTATCGACGGATTTGGTTCTGTTTTGACAGGTCGGGTGTGGTTCCCGAGGCTACTTCGATTAGAGTCAGTGGATGGAACAGGATCGAATGGTTTTCAAAGTCTGCCTTCAAAATTGGAATTTCCGATCCGACATTGGTTATTGAAAAAAAGCTAGCCTATTTTCGAATGAATGACAATCAAGCGCTATTAATATGTATATCATGAGAATCTAAAACTTCTACGTAGAATTTAGGAAAGTTCTTGGAATATGTTAAAACAAAAGGAAATTCTAGAAATGGTTAGAAGATTTAGGATAGTATAGGGATAATTTGAAAACTTATGTTAATGAAGAATTATCAGGAAATTTTGCATAAGAAAACCTCTAATTTTGCAAAGTGCTCCAAATTATTGCACTGAAAAAAGTTTTCACTTAGTTTCTATTAGGAACGCACATAATATTTTTCCCATAACAACATAACACAAACGTTGATGTAAAGTTCCATAACCATTCCAGTTAAAGTTTAGCAGGGATTATAAACAATTTTTAACCATTTTTGGTAAGATAATTGGCAATGGTTCGCGTTTATTCAGAAAATCCTAGGCAATTCTTAGGAAAGTTTCTAAGAAATTCCGAGAAGAATTTCAAGAGAACTTGGAAGAGTGTTCCAAAAAAATTCTGAAGAGAAATTCAAGCTGAACATTGCATTAGGTCCTAAGTAACTTTGATCGATTCTCTTCGTCGGCTTTCTCTTTCGTTAATAACTTGACCACATAACCGTTTCTTGTTGTGTTTGTCGTATTAGATGCTAGATAAAAGCTTCTTTTATCGATCTGTGTGTTTAAAAAATACCTGGGAATGTCTTTACATGGCCGTGAGATTACAAAGAGAAAGTCGATGAAGAGAATCTGTCAATGTGGCCGGCGCCGGTGGTGTAGTGGTAAGCGTGACTGCTTTCTCACCCCAATGGATCTGGGTTCAATCCCAGTCGAGGTCGGTGGGATTTTTCTGAGGCATAAAAATCTCTGGTCACGTCTTCCTTCGGAAGGGAAGTAAAGCCGTTGGTCCCGGCCCATGTGGTGTTGAATGGGTGCGATATCCTACGCAGGTGTGGACGCTGCCTTCCTGCACATTCGATTGCCGTCAAGGATGGCAATCGATGTCCGTCGGTGATTGGCACTAGATTGCGGAACAGAGACCGACGTTAAATAAAGGAAAAGAAGAAGAATCTGTCAATGTTACTTAGGACCTAATGCAATGTTCAGCTTGAATTCATAGATTTCAGTAGGTAACTATTTCAGGACCATTCTGAAGTGAAGTCAATGCCACTTTTAGATTTCCACATGGTATTTTATGCAAAATTATGGAAATATAATTAAACAACTTCGTGTGAGAATTATTGAGATAACAATAATTGGAAGAGAATTCTTAGGCTCCGAACATTTGCTCTCCTCTGTGTAGAAAGCTGACTATGGAAAGATATTTCTGCAAGTAAATCCGAGGTAAATCTTCAGTGAAAACACGGAGTGTAGCTCAACCAACGGGACGAAATTGTTGAAGTTAGATCGGGTGAATGATAGCATTGATCGTTCTATTTTAAGATGGGCTAACTAAAAGTTTAATTGGACTTAACGTTAGCTTTCAATATTAAAAACGATGCTCCAACCTCCGAAGAGCAATCCATCCCTGCTGAAGACGTTTGGTCGGCTGTTGGTGTCCGTTGTTTATTTTCTGTCCAATATTTACCCAGTTACATCGGTGATACAATCCAGCGCCCACAAGCCATAGGCACTTGCACTGCCACTTCGAGTTTTATTCTAGGGAGTTAATATTGGACACTATTGCGGATTCAGGCATTAAATTTCCATCACCATATTTGCTACGTCGCAGCAAACATGGGGAAGCAGTTTGGTTATTGTATGTTTTCCGGTAGCACATACACACTTAAATTTTTTCGCCGAGATTCCAACAGCCGAGTAATTCTGCAATTTATTTTGCTGAGATTCAGTCAAACAATTGCCGAGACTCAGCTAACAAATAACATTTTACTGAAATATCAGCTAACAAAGAGATATTTTGCAGAGATATCAGCATAAGTGAATGCCGAAGTAATCGGTTGTTAGAGATTTTACCGAGCTAGATTAAGTGTGTACTTGTCCCCTGGGTAATGCGAAGTGGCATCAGAGCCCGGAGTGGTGGTTTGGTTCACGACACCCGGGTTTGTAGATCGTATCACTTCAGGTTGGAATTGAACCAAAAGCAAATTCGCTATAAGATGATCTTAAAATCTACTTTCTGATCCAATCACACTTGAATTAAAAAAAAAATATTTGTAGCCCGATAGCTATAGCACAGATACAATAGAACCACAGACAAACAGACATAAAACTAACAATCACATACTTCGCAAATAAGGTTTTAGTAGGGAATGTGCTCGCATTTGTCTTGGTGGCGCTACTGAAGCATTAAGCAAGCCACCTTATTTCAACATGTCAGTGATGCCAGTTCTTTTTCAGGTAAATTTAGTAGATGTCAGCTCTTGAAAATTATAAGAGGGCCAAGACATCCCACTGGAGACACAACTTACTATTCGGAAGAATACCGAGTTGATGAATATTACATCCTAACAGCCTAACAGTACGTTCAGACTACAGAGTTATAACATGTTATAGCGCTATCTTGATGTTGGTTTCTGTGTTGCAATTATTTGACAACCGTTATAACATGTTATAACTCTCTAGTCTGGACAGCGTTTAACTTGGTCACTCCACTTATTGTGTAATTATTGCGGCTATTTTGATGACGTTTACGTGTTGATAATTATTATAACACGCTGGTAACATGTTATAACACTGTAGTCTGTACAAGACATTACCAGTTACATTACATCATTATGAGTAGCATTGATTGAGGCATATAATATTTGTTTGCTGTGTACACATTAAAGTGAAGCGGTGGTAGAAAGGGCACGCATTAGTGCTTCATTACCACGTTTACAATACAATATACGGATCACACTAAACATACAAAATAATTTCCTAAATATACTGCGTTTATGTGAATATCTCCTACGGATCCGTATTTCTGCAAAATTAAATTCGACAGTGAGCATTCATAAGGGCGTATACGCGATGATCGATTCTCTTCATCGATTTTCTCTTTTGTTAATAACTCGCCAGATTTAACGTTTGTCGGTGCGTTTGCTGTTGCTTTTGATGGCCAATGCAACCTGTTACAACTCTACATTGAATAAATTCTACAAAATTGTTTCGCTTAGCTGTAGCAATGCAAAGAGAAAATCGATGAAGAGAATCGATCATCGCGTATAGGCCCTTATGCATGCTCACTGTCGAATTGGCTCACCACTTTAGTAGCCTATTGGTCCCAAGCAAACGATTAACGTACCCTATTCTAGTTGAAATTCTATTACTACACTATGTTTGTTTTGATTCGCTATGAAAGTTTGACAGATAACATCAGGGGTATGTGGATTCATGCAGAACATGCAGGGGTGAGTGAAATAGCTTGGGACTGCTTGGGACCGTTGTTCTGGTACTGAGTGAGCCAAAAATAATAATGATTTTCTTCGGGACCCAGTGGTCTTAGAGTTACCTCTATGGTAATATCAACAATCAATACGAAACTAACGATTTTAAATTGGCTCACTACTTGACTAGCCTATTGGTCCCAAGCAAACGATTAATGTACCCCATTCTAGTCGAAATTCTACTACTACACAATGTTTGTTTTGATTCGCTATGAAAGTTCGACAGATAAAATGAGGGGTTAGTGGATTTTCGAGGGGTGAATCGATTAGCTTGGGACCGAAGAGAGTACCAGAGCTGAGCCAAAAAGTTGAGCACGTTATTTCGGGACCTTCTAGTCTTAGAGTTACCTCTATGGTAATATTGTATCTGCTTTTTGCTATTACATCATTATTTCATACATCAGCTTGAATTACGTTGATCGATATTACATTTTTTTTTGCTGTGCGCTCCGTCTGTCACTTCGTTTGTGCTTTGCACACTGTCAAAGAATCATTGTACACAAAATCAACTTTGTTCAAATCAAAACAAAAAAAAACTAATCCATCTGGTGGATGATGGCACAAGCTTCCAAGAAAATTCTATCACAGTGAACCACACACTGATAAATTGAAGTATCCCCATTTTGCTTGAAATTTAATCAATTTGACATTAAACTCAGTTTAATCAACAATCAATACGAAACTAACGATTTTAAATTGGCTCACTACTTGACTAGCCTATTGGTCCCAAGCAAATCGATTAACGTACCCCATTCTAGTCAAAATTCTAGTACTACACAATGTTTGTTTTGATTCCCTATGAAAGTTTGACAGATAAAATGAGGGGTTCGTGAATTTTCCTATGTTTCGAGGGGTGCATCGATTAGCTTGGGACCGAAGATAGTACCAGAGCTGAGCCAAAAAGTTGAGCACGTTTCTTCGGGACCTTCTAGTCTTAGAGTTACCTCTATGGTTTAATCATATCGAATGATTAAACATTAATCCTCTCTTTCTAAAAAATAAGCATCTGATATTAATCCCAGTTTATACCCCGTTCACATTACAGCGTATATCACGTGATATACGGTGTCTTGCAATGAGCACTCATACATCTAGTTTTCACTGGAAATCCTTTGTATGAATGCTCATTGCAAGACAGCCTATATTAGGTGATATAGACTGTAATGTGAACGGAGTATTAATCATGGTTGATTAGATTGTAGATTATCTTTTCTTGAATAAATTTTAATCATTTTTGATTCTATTTTAATAATTTTTTATTGAATTTTAATCTTTTTTGCTTATATATCAGTATTGAAAAATAATTAAATTTAATACCGGAAAGATTATTTCGAATTTAATCATGCATGACTAGTGCCGAAGTAATCATGGCTCGGACTCAATAAGGTGAAGCGGGAAACTGCATACTTTTTAAGCTTTTTTGATTTAATTTATCTTTGAGTGCATTATTTA